TTTAGACCTACATATGACCATCTGTTCATTTTCCTTCTTTAATAAGCTACAGTTATTTCAGTGTTTTAAGATGTTAACTAATTTTCTAGAATGCATAATTTACACCCGTCGTCGTTCCCATTATAAGATTTCTTTTTTCTACAATATTGGGTGTATTGCTATAATATTTTAATTGCCAGAAATGTTTAATTGCCAGAAATCAGTGCTGTTTACGTATCTTACATTGTCTAAAGTCATTCGATGATGGTAGAAACGCAATTCCCAAGGATTTTCAATGAGAGCTGATTAGATATCATTATTTTTTATATGGAAAGGCAATTTTAGGAAAATTAATGACAAATTCGAAGAAATATTTCTTTTACAAACAACCCATTCGCTATTGAGTCTGAACATAATTTCAATTTAAATTTATACTGCTTTAATTAAATGAGAAGGCAAACTAAGACGAAAATATACAGAAAATGGTTTGACTACGCGATCATCCGCGCTAAATTCACATCCAGATTCTAACAATATTTCATATTTCTTGAGAATCTTCTATTATCACAATGGCAGGTACTTAATTGCAAATGTAATAAAAACATAAACAACAATACCAAAAAATTCTCAATGAAATTTGTTAGGTGAAAAAGTATTAAAGTTTAGCATCCCATTGCATTCAAGCGCATGGGCAGTTACATCAACGTAAGCAGCCCTTTAGTCCAATGCGGTCCTAAAGGCCAGAAACATTATTCCACTTATATATATATATATGAAGTGGAATATATATATATATATATATATATATATATATATATATATATATATATATGATATTATGTGAAAGAAAAACTTAACTTTTAAATATCAGTTTATATCCTGATATCGAAGTTTCGTGGTAAAATTTCCAGTCTTCAGGGGTTGTGGCTTTAAACGGTATCTCCATATATATATATATATATATATATATATATATATATATATATATATATATATAGGTAACTATACTCGTCTCGAAAAACATTCGAATTTTTGATTTTCCAATAATCAAATCAATCTCGAAAGAAAAAAGGTTTTAAAAAAAGAAAGAGCTAGAAACATGAAAGTCTGTCGAAAAAAATCGCACAGATACAGGTTCAAAGCCCAAAGAAAAAAAACCCGATACGAGTAAACAACTAACTAAAAAAAGAGCTCAATACAACCGTAGAGCAGACCTAGTCAAACCTAGTGAGCCAGACAAACCTAACCAGGTTTCACCTAACCGGATCGTCAGTGAAAGTCAGCTTTCCCTGACGATCCGCTTAGGTGAAACCTGAAAGTTTGTCTGGCTCAAATAGGTTTTTATATATATATATATATATATATATATATATATATATAGCCAAGTTTGGGGACAAACCTATCAAGGTTTCACCTAACCGGATCGTCAGGGAAAGCCAGCTTTCTCTGACGATCCGCTTAGGTGAAACCTGAGTCATTTTGTCTGGCTCACTAAACTATATATATATATATATATATATATATATATATATATATATATATATATATATATATATATGTATTTGATATATAATTTAAGCGGAGTATTAGACGTGCAACGAGGTCGCACCGAGTTATAGTTGAGCTGTCTAGATGTATCCGTAAATTCTCTGCTAAAAGTTTTATCTCTGGCACTTATGGAAATTCCTTCCAGTTCTATGCTTTCCGGCAAACTTTAAGCATACACATGTCACTCATCAGATCAATGTGACATAAAAGAAAACATCTAGTTAACTATTGTTAATAAGATCGCTTAAGGGAAAGTGGGGCGGAAAACACAATTTTTTTATAAAATTCAAATTAAGAATGTAAGAGAATAAGTATATGAAAGCTACGGCGGCGAGAGAGGGACTGAAGCGAGACCAGAACGAATGACATTGCATGTTCTTCTTTGTATTTTAGCAAAGATCTCTAAAAGCATAGCTGGAGCAGCATACCAGATATGTCAGGAATATTCAAAGCAATGATGAATAGTAACCTTATAAATATGTAAGATATTGTTTAGTTCGACGTAGTTGCAGTTTTAGCAAATGATTCCGTATAAATTTTCTACCTAATGTCAGCGGGAAACGTTAGTCTGTGAATGTGCAATGAGTCACTCTCCTCTTGGTCATAAATGATTCTATATATATATATATATATATATATATATATATATGTGTGTGTGTGTGTGTGTGTGTGTGTGTGTGTGTGTGTGTATACTTCTCTAGTCAGCACGAGAAGATTCCGTCGTGAACGAAATTCCGAGTCGTACTACCGGTGATAAAATGTATATTTCATAATATATACTTAATCACTCTGTTATATCACATCGAGCTGTAGTTTATTAGGACCAGAACTCAATATGAGCTATCCGATACATACATACATATATATATATATATATATATGGGAAATTTTTGTTTTAACGTATGCTATATTTATGCATTAAAGTGTTAGATATTGGGGATAGAGCGTATGTAAATATTAAAATGGGCATTGAAGTCAACAGCCAGAAGTGGCAGTTTGTTTCATGCTAAACTCAAGCGTCAGGCCATCTGATATATATATATATATATATATATATATATATATATACGCACAAACACAGACACACACACACACGCAAGCATATATATATATATATATATATATATATATATATATAAAGAGTTAATAGTTTTTATTCATAAATTCAAAATATCTTTATTATTTTATCCAGGAAAAATAACGTTTGGTAATGAAATATATATATATATATATATATATATATATATATATATATATATATATATTACATTTAAATATTGCAAAGATGGAAAACAGAAAGAAAAACAAAAAAAAAAGAAGGGACAACGAAAGAATGAAAAAGAAATAAGGAAAGAAAGAAAGAAAACCGACAAAGGAAAGAAGCTGACGAAAAGATAGAAAGAAAAGAATGACAGATAAGAAAGAAAAAATAAAAAGGTGTATTATGAAAAAGAATCCAAAAAAAAAGAAAGAATGAAAGAAAACAAAGAAAGAAATCGAGAAAAAATGGCGGACATCAAAGAAACAACAAAAAAGAAAGATGAGTAAGAAATCTTTGGAAGATACAATAACAAAAGACAAATAGAAAGGAATGAATAAAAATATAGAAAGAAAGACGGAAGTGAATCAAACCAAATCAGGTGTGACAAATAAAAGAAAAAATAATCGAAGCAAAAGATACGAAAATAAAAAAAAATAACGAAGAAAAGAAGGAGAAAATGAACAAATACTGAAGGGAAGAAAGGAGGGAAAATACAACTAAGGAAAAGAAAGAAAGCGAATAAAAGAAAGAAAAAAATAACTGAAATATAAAGAAAAAAATGGATGAAAAATAAGAAAGAAAAATTTAAAAAAAAATGTACGAAAAGAATGAAAAATTGCAAAATGAAACAAAAGAACCTAATCAAAGAAAAGCGAAGAAATGGTTGGAACATCAGAAGGGAAAAGAAAACAGCGAACAAAAAGGAAGAAATAAGAAACTAAGAGAAAGAGAGAATCAGTAAAAGAATCGGGAACAGGATGAACCAGAGCAGAAATATAAGAAACGAAAGCGAATAAAAACAGATGAGGAATATTTGAAAGAAGCATCAAAAATTCACAAATACATTGTCAGCAGGTGGGAAACCAAGACGAAGTTAGACGCACGAAAAGAACGGTAAATATTGTTCTATTTCAAGAACAATGCGAAAAATGATAATTGCTTCTTTAATAGAAATGTAGACAAAAATTCGCTAAAGGCCAGGAAAAATACCGATAAAATGTTTGCAAAACTTTTTTGTTTTCGTTTCGAATATAGCTGATAAGGAAGTAGAAAAAAAAACTTGAGGAGGTCTGAAAAAAAGAAAAAAAATTAAAAAAAGAAAAGAAAAGTATAATACGCGAAAGATTTGAGAATAGAAAAAGAACAAAGTCAATGACTATTTGTACTAAGGTTTCGTGATGTTTTTATTCAATTTTAAGTCTTGTTTCCGTCAAGATGAAAATGTATTTTCACTGCTGTTCGTGAAAGAAAACAGAACATAAAATGAATATCTTCAACCTAGAATACTGAGACAGTTATATGGCAATATTCATTTAAATGGGGAGGTCATCTCGTCTCCGAAATGTAGCTTAATTTGCAGAAGGTTCATTTGACACAAAACTAAGTAGTAATGGTCAACTAAAACAGTTGGCTAACCATTACTCCAAAGAGAGCAACTAGCTAAGATTCCAAATAGAGTAGCAGCTTGGCTGATCGTTTCTCATTATAAACACCTGATAGGATGGTTTCCTACTTCCACTTCCCGACGTCTACTCTGGCAGATTTTTGTTTCTTCATCAACACCTAAGAGCCTAGCAATACCCCAAAACGAGCCTATGGTTTACACAGCAACTATGCTGCGCATGCGTTGATTAGGATTTGTAGTTGAGAGCGGATAATCTGGCGTGATCACCGACGTTAAGCAACGTTGAGACTCGTTATTACCTAGATAGGTGGCCGCTTGGGAATGGTGGGTGCTGTAAGCTTGGGTGGTTAATGGATAACGGCTCGGAATTGTTAATCTGAGAGCCGAGTTCTAATTTCATTTAAGTTTGTCATATTTACTTACGTGCAAATATGCTTTTGTAAGGTATGAATTCACCGCTTCTCCGACAATCTATAGGTTACTTAGTAAGTCTTCTGTCACTAAACCATTCAGTCAGTCAGTTATGTGGCATGCGTGATACACGCCTAGGCGATCATGTATCTTTCGATACCTGACTGACGTGGCAGATTTTTTCTCGCAGTAGGTTGCCATTTCTTTCCGTTGTAGACCAGTTGCCATTGAAGTCTATAGAACCCGGTCTGCCCTGCTATATACCCATAGCTGGGGAGAGGAGAAGAGGAGGATTCATACCTTTCCCAAGGGTATTAGCAAGTGAATGTAATGGACTCGACTGGAATTCGAACTCGGCTCTCCGATTCATTAATCCGAGCTGCTATCCATTACTCCACCGTGTTATCTATCTAAAAGATGAAGAAAGAAAAAATTCTTAGAAACTAAAAAATATTTTCAGTTTGCAAAGGGCTGATAAATTGTAGAACACAAATCAATCAATCAATAAAATATTGATTAGCTACACAGGCATGACTTTAAGATCTATTTACACGTTTTGGAATAGAAATGCATAGAAAATTCCATGACCAAAAATGAGGGATCATTTTATATATTGATTTGAATATAATATTTATCCCCCACTTAATATTCACATTATATACTTATTTCTAGATTTGTTTTTTATTAAATTCTGATTAGGTTTGAATCCATCCCTTTTCGCCCATCTATAGGTTAAGTATCAAGACTTGTACCAATATACCATTATTACCTAAAAAATTCTTACAATCTATAATAAAAAAATTTTCTGGCTTTGAATATCCTTCAACGTGTTGGTAAACCGTAAAAAACAAATCAATCAATGAAATACTGATTAGCTACACAGGCGTGTCTTTTAGATTTATTTATATACTCTGGAATATAAAGATAGAGAAAACAACCTTCCATAGAGCAACTGTTCTTTTTTGTTTTCAACAATTTTGATGTTTTTTTTGATACCTTGAAATGAATGAACTAATGGTCGTAACTGGAAAATTCAGGTTGTCTGAGATTTTCATGCAAAGTTTACCTTCCTCCCAGAACATAACAATCATTCTTTTTTTGTGAATTTGTCAAATCTTCATCTCTTGTCATGATGAAAACCTTCTTGCACAAATATCAATTACGGAATATTATGTTTTGCATTTTTTACGCTAACAATAACTGCAGAAAGCATAATTGGTACATTCTAGAATATTCCATTTGAATAATCTAGAGAATTAAAGCAATTTAAAAGTTTTCAAAATCTGAAATTTGTATTGTAGGAATATTTGTTGCCCCCCCACTGTAAGTATATATATATATATATATATATATATATATATATATATATATATATATATATATATGTATGTATGTATGTATCTATGTATATTGTGTGTGTATTTAGGCAGTATTTTTTTCATTCATACGTTTCATTAAATAATATAGACAAGTGTTTTATTTTTAATATAGACAACCATGAATATTTTCTATTTATTTTATGAAAAGAATTTACATAAAAAACAGCACTTGTCTATATTATTTAATGAAACATGTATGAATATATATATATATAATACAATATAATATATATATATATATATATATATATATATATATATATATATATATGCTTGATTTGTGAGTTTGTCACCCTGGGTTTTTTTTGCTTTTCACACACACACACACACACATATATATATATATATATATATATATATATATATATATATATATATGTTCGGGGACCTTACCCATAATAACATAAAGGACTATTCCATACGTAATAAATACTGCGCCTCAAGAGGAAGCAGGGAGTTCAGCCCGAAGTCGGGCAACCGGCTGATCGGTTTAACTCTCTGCCTTCGTTTATACGGGTTCAAAGGGCATATTTTTGGCCGAGATCACGGGCTCGGAGATCCCATGTTAAGCCGGCCTTGTGCCACATAATGCCTTCGTGGGGGGGTGAGTAAATACCGTTCAGACCGAAGTTGGGCGACCGGCGGATCGGCTGATCGTTTGAACTCTCTGCCTTTGTAATAAATACTGCGCCTCAAGAGGAAGCAGGGAGTTCAGTCCGAAGTCGGGCGACCGGCTGACCGGCTGATCGGTTGAACTCTCCGCCTTCGGGCGGGGAGGAACCCGAACGAGGCTGAGTCTCTTTCCGGGAGGTAAACCGACCCTGAACCCGTTTATACAGGTTCAAAGGGCATATATTTGGCCGAGCCCACATGATGCCCTCGTAGGGGGGGGTGACTAAAACCGTTCAGTCTGAAGTGAAGTCCGTCAGGCGTCTGTCAGTCAGTCAGAGCGAGCGAGTCAGTCAGTCGCGTTCAGACAATTACTACAAGACATTGGAATAGTGATACTGGTCGAGACTACATTGTTCTCCCTACTAAACCTCACAGTTCGTACTAACTCTTTCTATTTCTCTGTATATATTCCTGTTGTAATATATCTGTGTTATTCCATATCCGTGTTCGAGTCGGACTTTAACAAACATATATATATATATATATATATATATATATATATATATATATATATATATATATATATATATAAACGAAATTGTTCAGAAAGTTATAAGCCTCAGCCAGAAAGAAGAACCATAGCTGAATATATTTCTTGTGGCAATACATTAGCAATTCTGTTTTCTGTCTTAATTTCTCTGCAAAGATGAAGAAGACAAAACAGAGGCTCGTACAGTCATCAAGTATCTAAAAAAGAAAGGTATGATACCCAATGAAATCCACGAGGGCTTGGTACAGACACTCACTGTAGACCCTACTTCTTATGCAACTGTGAAGAAGTGGTGTGGGTAATTCAGGGGGGGACAAAGACAACACAGAAGACGACCCTCGGTCAGGTCGTCAAA